TATACCTCCTTCGTGATCAGATCTTTTGCGTGCGTCTTTGTTGGTATCGTGGCCAGCCATGCTGGAAGTCTGTAGGCCTATAGTAGGCTACGTAATATTATAAATATTTATTATGTAGTTGTTCTTACAAGCAGTGGAGTATCTGGTTGCGATGTTCGATCAAAGGGTAGGGGTGCGTTGGTGCGGTACGTTCATCATCTGCCGTTACAATCGTTCGATGTGGTAACCCACTTCTGCGTGCCGCTACATCTATGAGATGAGGCGTGGGTAGGCCCCGCCTGTATGTGTAATGTAATTCGAGAAGTCGGAGAAGATGAAGTCATTTACTCTTTGCCATTTTCACTTTCAGTCCTATCTTTCAGTGGGCGTTTACGAGGAAAGCAACGAACCTCTTATTTTACAAATCTATTTGAGTTGGAGCAAATGCTGATATTACTGATAAAATACACTTTGTGGATTTCAACCACAACATCTTCTTTTTTCTTACAGTACAGACTGAACTAGTCCATAAATTATAGGTTTATATAAGTGCCAGACTATAAATTTGATGTTTTTCATTACGTCGAGCGCAAGCAGAATATTTCATACGACCATAAGACACACATATGCATACAAGGAGCTTCACCACCCCGCCCAAAAAAATAAAACATTAATAAATAAATAAACAAAACAAACACTAACACCCACGAATCTCCACCAAGACCAAGGGCGATAATCGTAAATTTTTCGTGTATATATAGAGATTATAGAAATTTGAAATTATTTCCCTTTCAACATCACTTTACACTTTACATGCCGGTACATGTATCACAATTAAAGAGGTATGGCGGGGGAGAGTTTTAAAGTCAAAACGGCCACGTAATAAACATTTATTCTGTTTTCTCTTCACCAGTTCTCGCGAGTGTGTATGCTTTTTTCATTAAGAAAAAAAGATAGAGTAAGAGTTTTACGGCACTTGCAGTACAATTAGGTCATGGAAATGCCCAAGAGGGGTTACGTTTAGAATGTAGCATTAATTTACAAACAAGAGACCAGGCGTGATTAAGGACGACATCTTTGAGAGGGGGGAAGGAGTAAAGCATACTAGAGCACCTGCCTAACACCCATGTGTTTGAGAGAGAGTGAGAGAGAGAGAAAGAAAGAAAGAGAGAGAGAGAGAGAGAGAGAGAGAGAGAGAG